GCTGTTCAGATGGTAAATTTTTTTTTTCAAAATCTGTTTTTCTTTTTCTCTTACTATTTTTTTTTTTTTTTGTTCTTGTGGGCTCTTTAATATCATTTTAGGGAAATTTTGTTTTGGAGCAGGATCAATGTCAGCTGTGTAGTCACTTAAAATATGTACGCATGAGGCTAAAGTGATGGCTCAATGGTTAAAAGCATTGGCTAGGGGCTGGAGAGATGGCTCAGAGGTTAAGAACACTGGTTGTTCTTCCAAAGGTCCTGAGTTCAATTCCCAGCAACCATATGGTGGCTCACAACCATCTATAGTGAGATCTGGTGCATGGGAAGAATGCTGTATAAATAATAAATAAATGATATTAATAAAAAAATAGTATGGTGCCTCTCCCCTTCTTCTATCAGCATACACACACACACACACACACACACACACACACACACACACACACAAGCATTGACTATTCTCGCAGAGGATCCAGGTTGAATTCCCAGCATGCACATCTATTAACTCTAGTGTCAGAGGATTTGATGCCCTCTTCTGGCCTCTCAGGGCACCAGGCATGCATATACATGTAAGCAAAATGTGCAAACACATAAAAATGAATAAATAAGTAAAACGTAAAAATATGTAGACATAATAAAATGATAAAAATATCAGAGCTTAATATGGGTTAGTTCGCTATGAAATTTGGATTTTGAATACTTTTTTAGAAGTATAAGTGGAGGCAGACAGATCTCTAGTGAGTTTGAGGGTAGTCAAAGTTACATAGAGAAACCCTGCCTTGAACTAAGCAAAACAACCCACAAAAATTGGTTAGTGCCAGAAAGGTGCCTCAGTGGTTTGAAGCATGTGTTGCTCTTACAGAGGACCCAGGTTCAATTGCCAACATGGTGGCTTACAACCATCCAGAAGTCTAGTTCTAGGGAATATGATTCCTTCTTCTGGCCTCCTTACTCACCATCCACACATGTGATACACATATACACATGCAGACAGAACACAGAAAATAAAATAAATAAATCTAAATTATTTTAAAAGAAATATGAAAATCAATAAAAAGAATTTTATATATTAACATAAAATGTTTTGTTTTCTTTTTGTATCCCAGGATGGCCTTGAACTTACTGTTGTAGCCAAAGATGATCTTGAACTTTTCAAACTCCTGCTTCTACCTTCCAAGTGCCAAAAGTACAGGCATGCACTTGACATCTGGCTTATGCAATACTGAGAACGAAACTATTTGCATGCTAGGTAACCACTCTAACAGAGCCACAGTTCCCCAGCCCAGAAAAAAAAATTTTTATATACTAGCTAAAACTAGAGAATGTTATGACAGTTTAATTATTATCATCCCATTTTTATATGTTTGCAAGATGGTCTTTTGTTTGCTTGTTTTGTTTGGATATGCTTTTTTGGACTTGCTCCTAATTTAATTAGAAGACCTTTCTTTTAACTGTGTATACTTTAGTGATATTTTAATATTTTACATTGAGCATATGTTTGAACATTTTTTATTCAGTAATGAAGGGAAGAAGGGAAAAGTCAGCAGGGCCACATGCCCTGGAGAAGTTAAATAAAGTCAGGCTTAAATTGTCTATGGGGGCTGGAGAGATGTGCCACCAGTCAAGAGTGCTTGCTGCTCCTTTAGGGGACTTGGATTAGGCTCTGAACACCTATGCTGGGCAGCTCACAACTGCCTGTAACTCCAGATCCAGGGCCTCCAACACCTCTGCAGGCAGTAGCAAGAGTGCATACAACACACACAAATAATTTTTTCTTTAAAAAAGTATCCACTAGATGTTTTTGAGTTTTGTGGTGATTTCCCCTTTCCAGGATCTAGGAATGATTAGTATGCTCTTTAGCTTACAGAGGAAGGCTCCGGGAGAAAGAGAGAAAATACAGAAGAATGACTATACTAAGAATACATTCAGAACATTAATGATTAGGATCCTCTGCAAGATTAAAAATAACTAAATACTGTGTTTAGCCAGACAGTGTGGAAGGAAAGAACAAGCCTTAGATAATAGGCTTTGATGACATGGTCTTTAAAGCCCCATCTACAAGCTTGTCTGAGTAGGTCGTGCTAAGTGGGACTTGGCAGAAACTACCACCCTGCTTTAGTATGGCTTGAGGTAGGAATCCAGCTCATTACTGAAAGAGATTAGAATGAGGAATTTCTTTCCACCGAGGAGCAAAGTGTTCTTTCAGTATTGCACCATAAAATCTGGTGGAGTTAGAACTCTTTTTCTAGCCATCCTTATCAAGCTAAGAAACACATATTTTCTTCACCAGTGTTTCTTCCTCTCCTTCCCTAAGGATACTGATTTATAACCTGCTTTGCCAAGAATCACTGTAATTTGGGAATCTCCTCAATGTAGTTATGGTGAGTCACAGCTGTGGCTCCCTTCTTCCTTTGAAATCTGTAAGGTAGCTTATAATAAACACTTTTTCTCTGCTAGCCCCTTCCCCAGGAAGGCTCTGGAATTCTAAGAGTAATGTCTTACTTACCCTTTGAATCAAAGGAGTAATCAAAGTGGTTGGTTAGAATCTTGGGGCTAAGTGCTATCCTTTGAGAGTTTTGAAATGTTACTATAAAGTAGGCATAAGATACCTGCAAATAGAAAATTTCTCAGGTCAAATGATTTAAGCTAAAAAAAAAAAAAGAAAGGTCTAAATAGTCTGGAGGCCACTTTAGTAGGAAGAGAGGATCATGAATAGATACGCTATAGAAACTACTAAGTTCTTCCAAAACTCAGACTTGAATGTACATGTGTCATTCTGTTTCCTAACATTAGATTTCTGGCACGTATATAAGGTTTGTTAAGTTTCTTTTTTGTCAGTGCCTGTTTTGGGGATATAAATTAGTGGTAGAGTGTTTGACTAGTACGCAAATCCTGGCATACCCTTGGTTAAATCCTTATACTGGAGGATGTTGAAGGATGGAAGAGAGTAAAGAGGAGAAGAAAGAGGAAGAGGATGAAAGTAGGTAAATGAATAACAAGATGGGCCAAGCAATACAAGTGTTTTGAAATCTACAGGCTATCAATGAGGATGATTCCTGTGTACATGGCTCTAAAATGTACAAGTTAAGAGGTTTACTCACCCATGACTGTCTGTCTTCCTATTCCATCTACCCTGTTGGTAACTCCATCTTCAGAAGAGCCAGACCCTCAAAGTAGGTATAGAATGTAAGACTATAAGGGATGACATTTAATGTAGCAATAAGCAGAGCTTCTGAATATCCATGACAATGAGCTGCTCTTTCTAGAAGGCACTGACTAACAGTTGTCTAGGTAAATACAGATATCACTTATTCTAGAATAAACTTCTTTCTTCCTTGTAAAGGCAGGAAGGCAGAAGTTCACTTCACCAGGGTCCTTTGATGCCCTTAAGCAATAGTTGGTCCTATATCCATGTATTGGTTATTTCTGTAATAAAACACCATGACCAAGGCAATTTATTGAAGGAAGGATTTATTTGGGCTTAGAGTTTGAGAGGGTTAAGAGTGCATCACTATTGTGGTGGAGAAATTCAATAACAGGCAGGCATGGTGATTGGAAGCAGAAGCTGAGAACTGAGGGCTCATATCTTCATCTACAAACACAAAGCTGAGAAGGCACAGTGGGAGAACCTCAAAGTCTGTCCCAGTAACATACTTCCTCCCAGAAGACCAGACCTCCTGTCTTAGTCATCATTCTATTGCTGTGAAGAGACACCATAACCAAGACAACTCTTATAAATGAGAGCATTTAATTGGGAGTTTTCTTAAACAGTTTCAGAGGTTTAGTCCATTGTCATCATGGTGGGGAGCATGCCGGCACACATAGCACTGAAGCAGTAGCTGAGAGTTTCATCCTGATCAGCAAGCAGAGGGGGGGGGCAGAGAGAGATACACAGAGAGAGTCAGAGGTAGGGACAGTGGGAGGGAAGGAGAAAGGAGAGAAAGAGAGTGAGAGAGAGCAAGCGAGAGAGAGAGCCTGGCATGGGCTTTTTTAAACCTGAAAGCCTATCCCCAGTGACAAACTTCCTCTAACAAAGCCACACCTTCTAATACTTCTAATCCTATCCAAGTGTTCTACTTCTTGTTGACTAAGCCTTCAAAAATATAAGCTTATGGGAGCCATTTTTTTATTCAAACCACTACACCCTCCTAAGCTTCCCGAAATGGCACCAGCAACTAGGGACCAACTATTTAAATACTCAAGAATATGGAGGACAGCTCATTCAAACTACCACATTTCACTCCCTGCCCCCACAGTCTCAGAGCCATTTTATAATGCAAAATGCATATAGTCCAAATTCAAAAGTTTCCATGCTCATTTACAAGCACTTTTTAATCCAAAGTTCCAAAGCCTTTCACATTCCTTCAAAAAATAGCATGGTCAGGCCTGTTACAGCAATAGCCCACTCTCTGGTATCAACTGTTGTTTTTGTTAGGTTTCTATTGCTATGGTAAAATACCATGGACCAAAAACAACTTGTGTGGGAAAAGAGTTCATTCCATCACTGAAGAAAGTTAGGGCAGGAACTCAAGGAAAAAACCTGGAAGCAGGCACAGGCCATTGGTGAACTCTGCTTAATGGCATGCTCCTCATAGTTTGCTTAGCCTGTTTTCTTATTCACCCCAGGATCTCCTTCCCAGGGACAGCATTACCAGAAGTAGGCTGGACCTTTCCACATCAGTTGTCAGTCAAGAAAATGTACCACAGGCTTGCCTGCTGCCAACCTGATGGATACATTTTCTCAACCGAGGTTCCATCTTCTCAGATGACCTGAGCTTGTGTCAAGTTGACAAAAAACTAAGCAATACACTCCAGAGTAGTGTATTACATTCTGGTGCCGGTCTTGACAATACCAACGACATCCTCATCTGAAGGAAGAATAAGAAGCAAAGTTGGAGCTGTTATGTGAGGTTCCTTCATTACTGTGGAGCCAAGGGTGGGGGTGTTGGGAGAGAAGGGTGTGGCTTGGAAGTAAGGAGCCTCTGCTTTCTATCCTTCAAGCAACCTCATAACATTCTGCAGAGGCGCCTCATGGAAACCAACCTGTCCAAGCTCCGGAGCAGTCGTGTCCCTTGGGCCTCCAAGCCCAACAAATTCAATCAGGCTAAGTCTGAAGGGCTAAAGAAGTGTGAAGATGATGACATGATTTTAGTGTCTTGCCAGGTAATGTTCAGAGAACATTTTTTTCTAGAGTTTTTTAGAAAGTAGGATTTGGGGACCCTTTACGATCCCAATAGTAAGCCCTCTCTTCAAAACCTTATTGATAGTGGTTGTTAATGTGGAATGGGTTTGAAATGGGTTGGAGAGTTCTTTATACTAGAAATGCATACAATATTTTATATGCGTGCACATTTGAATGGGAAGAAGTACCAAAGCTTTTATCAGATTTATAAAAGGATGTTTGATCTTTTTAAAGAGCTGGCACATAGTTGAGTGGTGGAAAACTCATTTAGCATTCTCAAGGCCCTGAATATGACCTCCAGAATGATTTTTTTTTAAAGATTGTGTATATAATATTTAGTATATAGAGGGAACCCACCAAAGTCCCTTATGGGTATTCTGTGAGTCTTAGATTTAGCAGAAAAAAGAGCCAGTCAAAGACAAACTTAGCAGTGGGGGAAAATGGGACAGCACCAACCAACCAGTTAGAAGGTTGTTCTCAAAACATGTCTTTATTTGACATCTGTTGCTTGCTCTTCATTTCTGTTCTCTTTTGTGTCTCTAGATCCTATTAAAGAGTTTATTTCCTTCCCACAGTGTTCTGGAAAGGACGTGAAAGCTTTGGTTGACACTGGCTGTCAATATAATCTCATCTCCTCAGCTTGTGTGGACAGATTGGGGTAAGTAGCCACTTGTGCTGGGTGGAATCTGTTTGAATCTGGTTTAAGATTGTAGATCTTTGACTGTATCCACAGAAGCACAGAGAAACATGCAATGGTTTCTCTCATTTGTGGCTTATTTCATATGGGCAACATGAAATCATATATAAACAGATGACATAAAGAGTGACAAGAAGCTGTCTAGGGCAACAATGGGAATTAACTGAACAGAGAAGAGTGAGAAAGGGAAATGGATCTTCACCATTTGTCAAGGTGGAGATCCCGCCATGCTGAAGTTCTGCAGAAATAACACTCTCTGCTGTCTGCATACTACGTGAGTCTGGGGTCTTTTCTTCAGCGAGCTTTGGACCCTAACACATATACATCCAAATGCCAGAAAAAGGGCACCAGATCACATTATAGATGGTCATGAGCTACCATGTGGTTGCTGAGAATTGAATGCAGGACCTCTGGAAGAGCAGCCAGTGCTCTGAACCACTGAGCCATCTCCAGCCCAATCTGTTCCTTCTACATCTGCCTTGTTCTTACTCCCCACCACTGATGTGACTCTCTGAAGTTGGCTCTGTGGATTATTTTATACATTACTATCTAGAGTTGGGATAAAGTAAATTCCAGGACTCAAGTAAGAAGGATCTTAATTTTTTTTAATGTAGTGAAGAGATTAGTTATGTACAATATTATGATGGTTTTAGAAAGACTAATGTTGTCCTGGTACATAACTGGGCAGCAGACTGCCATGATTCTGGAGGAATTAATTACCATCTGTAAAACTGCAATCAGTTTTCTTTTAGATGGGCTGTAACACCAAAAGAGAAGAAACGGAGAACAAAAGTATTGGCCCAGGAAGCCCACAATTAAGTATTTATCCACAAACCCATAATAGTTTGAGTGCTAGCTATTCTAATCAGCTTATATAATTGTATGGAACAGTGGTGCTATTCCTTTTCAGTCCTGGCAAAGGCAAGTCAAATTAGTGAGAATTTTCTCCATAATATTCCTTGCTGCTACCAGTATCAATGTTCTTACCAAACAAATGCCTGTCTCCATTAGCCATATAGCCTAAGACAATCCCATGTGAATAAACTGAAATAGAAAGGATAAGAAAATGGGACATTGAACAGCCTTTTGTAAATTAGGATGAATTTGCCCTCTGATATGTTATCTACAGATGGGTAAAAAAACCCAACACATTAATTAAACTACCTTGCACACATATGGGTGTGTTAGGATGCTGAGTGGAACGGTTTGTGTCAGCTCCTCTCTACACAATGCAGGGAGTGATTTAAGCTTCTTAAAAATAGGAAACAAAGTTGGGCAGTGGTTGCACACACCTTTTTTTTTTAATTTTAGCTTTTTAAAAAGATGTATTTATTTATTTATTATGTACAGTTGTGTGCCTGCATACCAGAAGAGGGCACCAGATCTTATTATAGATGGTTGTGAGCCACCATGTGGTTACTCAAAATTGAACTCAGGAGCTCTGGAAGAGCAGTCAGTGTTCTTAACCTCTGATCCATCTCTCCAGGCCCTGTGGTATACACCTTTAATCCAAGTACTTGGGAGGTCAGCCTGGTCTACAGAATGAGCTCCAGAACAGCCAAGGTTATACAGAAAAACCCTGTCTTGAAAAACAAACAAACAAACAAATAACAACAAAAAACCCAGAACAAAATAAAAAGAGACAAATCTCACATTTTCTTTTATAGTTCCCTGGCATGTGTTTAGGAAAAGGAGCTGAAGTAAGCACAATCTGGCTAACCCAGGAAGTCTCAAGAGAACCCAATTCTGAGACAGAAGCTTTTGCCAATGTGATTATGATAGTTTTCTCTCTGTTTCAGACTAAAAGACCTTGTCAAATCTCACAAGCATGAAGGAGAAAAGCTTTCTCTACCAAGGCATCTCAAAGTGGTAGGCCACATTGAGCACCTACTGATTACTGTCGGCTCTCTCCGACTGGATTACCCAGCAGTTGTGGTTGGTGAGTTAAATTGGGACTAGACCTACGGACCTAACATGAACTCCCTTGAGGTCTCGTACCTGTAATACCGACTTCTTCAAAACACAGGATTCCTATTTCCTTATACTATATTCCTTTGTGTTAATTTTACCCTTTCAAGTGCTGGAATTAAAGGCATGTGCTACCATACATAGCACATCTATTGTTGCTTTGAGACAGGGTCTCTGTATATAGTTCTGTCTGTCTTGGAGTTCACTCTACAGACCAGGCTGGTCTTGAACTCAAGAGAGATTCTCCTTTTCCTATTCCCGAGTGCTGAGATCAAATGGATGTACCACTATGCTCAGCCTAGAACATTATTTCAATTTTTAAAAAATGTATTTACTGGGGGCTGGAGAGATAGTACAGTGGTTTATAGTATTTTGTGCTCTTGCAGAAGACTGAGGTTAGGTTCCTCGCATTCATATAGGATAGCTTACAACCTCCTGTGACTCCAGCAAGACATCTGACACCTTTTTCTGATATCCTCCTTCTCTGTTGAGTTAGTTTCCATTGTTGCCCTAGACAGCTTCACTACTATTTTATGTCATGTTTATATATGATTTCATGTGCCCATATGAAAAAAGACATGAATGAGAGAAAACATCAAGCATTTGTCTTTCTGAGATGGACTTAATTTACTTACTATGATTATCCAGTTGCATCTGTTTTCCTACAAATGACATAAACTCATTTTATTTGTGGCAAAAAAAGTACATTGTGCATATAAGCCACAAGTAAACAGACTTTTTCTACATTTAATTTACTTGTTTAGAGAGAGGTGTGCTCATGTGACATGACACTTGTATGGAGGTCAGAGGTCAGGTCTTTCCCTCCAACATGTGGATTGCAAGGATTGAACACAGGTCATCAGATATAGCAGCAAGCACCTTGCCCATGAGCTGTCTTACCTGCCTGAAGACATGTTTCTTTATGTGCAAGTTAAAATGTCCCCAAGGGCACTTTTCATAAACTTGTTGGTGAAGGCAAGATCCTCTTGCTTCTCTGCCATTAATGCCTGATTGCCTACTCTCCTTCTGTGCTTCTCACATGTTCCGTGTTAGCCTACCCTAACATATTTTTTTACTGAAGGCCTCTGTCCTCTAGAGAGAAAAAGACTGGTTTGAATTTTGGCTCTTATTTTCTTTTAGCTGTAATTATCTGATAAAGTACTCAGTGAAAAGTTCAATGGATGTTTACTGGGTAGTTAGCTGGCTAGTTTGTTGGGTGGGTGGATAGATAGATGGAACAGATGGCCCTAATGCTGATGAGGCTGATGTCTAAGCCAGCATAGAAATGTCTGAATCTTATTGTTTTCTTTTTATTAGATGATAATGAAAAAAACTTGTCACTTGGTCTCCAGACTCTTAGATCTCTGAAGGTAGGACTGACTCTGCTTTTCCTTTGGTATTTTCTCTTAGAGTCAGGGAACTGAGAATAGCATCATTGACAAGTGATCAGTGATCCTCCTTTGTTTTAGTGTGTCATAAACTTGGACAAGCACCGGCTGATTGTGGGGAAGACAGACAAAGAAGAAATCCCTTTTGTGGAGACAGTTTCTTTGAATGAAGACAAGTGAGTACTGAAATTAGTCAGTGGGGTCAAAGCCATCTGCCACAAGTCAGGGGATTCTCAGATAGTATATGGGCTTATAGCCCCCCTTTAGCTTTAGTCATAGCAGAAGTCTGCCCTTCCCCAGACCATAGTTTACTGTCTTATATAACTCTAACTATTATAATAAACAACAAGGATAGCATGCAGAATGGTGGACGAAATTGACAGCTTTTTAAGGTGTAGGTGTGTGTAACAACATTTCCGTATATAGTCCAGGCATGGAATGGGGTGTGAGTTGGGAGTGGGGGTGTTGAGATAGGGTTTTTGTACGTAGCTCAGGCTGGCTTTGAATTCATGAGCTTCCTGCCTCAGCCCCCTAAGTGCTGGGATTATAGGTGTATACATGAGAAGTTTTAGAGCCAAAGTTAATTTGCTTTTGGATTAACTCCGTTGAATTTGTTTTCAGTTCTTTGTTTCTTTCTCATTTTAGCACTTCGGAAGCATAATTGCAGCCTGAAGCGTGTCTGCATGTGTACACACACACACCAGTGGACAGACGGAGAAAACTGGGCTTGAACTAAATGCAATAGCAGCTCGCTGTGGACCAAGTTCTTCCCTCCAGTACATCCTGCAGGGGCCTCTTCCCACCCTTTCTAGACTATTGTCTGTGCTGTGAGATCTTGTCTGGTTAATGCTTAATGGTTAAACAGCCTTTTTTTTTTTTTTTTTTACTACTTTGGATATTTAATTTTTAGACTTTTTTTTTTTTTTGACACTGCCAGGTCTCATTTGTGGCCTATTTCTCTGCTTCTTCCAAGAGTTTGCTTTTATTAGTCCAGTGTAGGGGCTGCCAGTTTCTATTTCTCCACAGATAACACTTGTTTTTTTTAAAAGTAAGATATATAATAGGAACTTCTTTTCAGATCTTTCAGAAATGTGTAGAAACACTATGTCTTGACATTAGAATCCCTTCTGAAGTAATTGATTTTTCCAGTGTGACTGATCTGAAAGATCTCAGAGAGGTATAGTCCAGACATTTCATTTAAACATACAGACAGGCAAGGCAAATGAATTGTCTCAATTCATATATTAAGTCAGTGGCAGAAGACAGCCAGAACTCATACAGCCAAACTAAGACTCTTGTGCTGCTTCATTTGTTTCCAAGCCTTACAAGGAAGGCAGCAAGGTTAGAGTACAAAAAAAGGAGGGGTGCTGGACATGGCTTAGTGGTCGAACACTTGTCTAATCTGCACAAGGTCCTGGGTTCAAAGGCAGCACTAGAGATAGAGAAATGGCTCACTAATTTACAATGCTTGCTGAGCAATCATGAAGACTGCCATTTGGATCTCAGTACCCAAACAAAAGCTGGGCATAGTTCCCCACACCACCTGTAGTCCCAGAACGGAGGGGTTTAAAAACAGAATAAGTGCTAGGACTTTCTAGCTGCCAGCCTAACCAAGAGAGGGAGGGAAAGAGAATATATATATATTCTATATATTCCCTGCCTCAAAGGAGCAAAAAAAAAAATTGTGATAGAGGAATAGAGGGCAGCCAGCATGTTCCTCTGGCCTCTGTGAGCATGTACAGCTGCACAACTGCACAGGCACTCATACAATTTTCTGCACACACCCCCTCATAGTCACATACCACAGAATACAATAGGTGGCTACAAACATATGTGAGACCGTTTCTCATAGTGAACAAGAGAAAAAAACCCACAGATGTGAAGAATAGTATTTCCTGAGATAGTGTTGATAATCTAGTTGTCACTATGAGATATTACCCCTAAGAACCAGTCAGAATTTTTGTCTGTCTTGTTTCATGTGACAGAGATTCAAGTAGCCAGAAATAGAGGTAGGAAAGGAAAAAAACAAACAAAACTAAACACAAAGTAAGGCTGAAATAGAAGGGGGGAGACTAAGTACACTAAGTCAGAGGGAAGCCAACCTAGGAGCCTTTCCTGGGGTTGATAGAGGGAATGGAACCTCCAGGGCAGGGAATTAAAAGATGGGGAAACCCCTCAGTACCAGGAAAGAAGAAAGGTGGCTGGCAGCATTAAGAACCATTAAGAAATAGGGTATGTTGTATGCCTTTAATATCAGAAGGCAGAGAGGCAGAGAGGCAGAGGCAGAGAAAAGTGGATCTCTGAGTTTGAAACCAGCTGGTCTACATAGTGAGTTCCAGGCTAGTCATGGACATACAGTCTCAAAAAACAGTTAAGTTTGGATTAAATTAAATTAAATTAAAATCAAGACAAACAAACAAACAAGCACAGAATAACCTTTGTAACTGTCCAGTATTTCCTGACCGATCTCAGTGTATTGGGGAAACCACAGGGTTTTTTTTTTGTTTTGCTTTGTTTGTTTGTTTTTAAAGATTAATTAATTTATTATATATACAGTGTTTTGCCTGTATGCATACCTGCATGCCAGAAGAGGGCACCAGATCTCATTATAGATGGTTGTGAGCCACCCTGTGGTTGCTGGGAATTGAACTCTGGACTTTTGGAAGAGCAGCCAGTGCTCCTAACCTCTGAGCCATCTCTGCAGCCCCCACAGGGTTGTTTTTTTTAATTTTTTGTTTTGTTTTGTTTTTTTTTGGTAGCATGTCATTTCAGGCATAGAGGTACCTATAATGGAATCTCCTCCTTCCATTCAGTTATAGGAGTATTTGGCTAAGTCAGAAAAATAGCTGACAGTGGGTAACCCTTCAAGATATTTCTAAGTCTACCCTTGGCTCATAAAAGTTCTCAAACTTTGAATCTGGTCAGGAACCACCAACTATCTTGTCTAATCCCAGCCTTCACCCTGCCTATGAGCCACTCCTTTCACTGAGGCCTCCCTGCACTTTTGTTTATCATATCATACCAGCCTGCTTTTCATAAGACAGAGCTGGAAGACGTCACCCCTTGTTTTCCTACTTGAGAGTTCTACCCCAAGCCTTGACTCTTGGCTGCAAAGGAAGCATACTGCAGGTTCTTCTGGTATCTCCTAATTTGGATTTCCTGTGGATCAGTGAGACCAGAAATTCTCAGGTTCTTGAAAGATGCAATTAATTCTGGCCCTTTTGAGTTTAGTACTATATGGACCAGGATGATTAGATGGCCTTTAGTGTTCCTTCTGGCCTCTGAAAACCAGTCAGTGATTTTCTAATTTGGGAATGGAGACAACTGATTCCATGGAGACCAGATTCCATGTCACAGTTCACTCAGTTCATCAAATCATCTGAATTCTCTAGCCAAATCATTTTAATACCCGGCATAGATACACCTGAAATGCCTCAAGATAATTATAGGAAGTCTTGGGGTTTATTAGTGGTTTTTTGTTTTGTTTTTGAGGCAGGATCTTATTATGTAGCCTAGGCTAGCCTGAAACTCAATCTATACATGAGGTTGGCCTTGAACTCATAGAACTCTGCCAGTCTCTGTCTCCTGTCGTTAATGCTTGTTAAATGCTGCCAAATTATTCTTATAGCTTCTGTCTCCCCAGTGTTCACAAGGGAACACTGGCTCTACTTTGGGAGCTATCAAAGTAAGAAGGTAAATGAGTTTTTCCTAGTCAGAAAATGATAGTGTTTCTAAGGGTGTAAGAAAGTGTCTACTGCATCATAGTTCTGAGTCCCTGGAAAGTAGTAGCAGACCTGTCTCATTCCTTAGTAGATATCACATCCAGGAATTTGAAAGAAAAAATTGATTGGTATTTCTATGTCTAATTTAAGGAAGGGATATTCTATGACTTTCGTTTTTTCCTTGTTCTGCACACTGCCCACTAGTGTGGTTTTCTCTTCCTTAGCTCAGAGCATTGCAGACTGGACTACCTAGCTGTCTTTATTCTTGTGTAGTAGAAATACCTTTTCAGGCTGGGGACTTGGAGGAGATGAACTGGATTCCTCCCTCCTGTTGCCAGGTCTCTCTGCATTAGCACTTTATCTGCTCAGTGTTTCTGGCTGTCCAGGGCTTATTTGTGACACTGATGTATCAATAAAGTGGAATCTTTCCCTGTGTGCTTGTCTGACAGCCTCTGTGCCAGGGTCCCAGCCTGAATGCTGAGGAGCCAGGGCACAGCCTACATGCACTAGCATTTCTGCTTTAGGGAACGCCAAATGTAAGACTTTGTGGTTTTCAGCTCCTCAGCTGCTGCTACTCCTTCAGCTCCCTCTTAAAGTCTTTGAACAGACTCTCCTTGAACCCAGCTTTGTAGTCTACGAAACAGATAGAGAAAGGTACTGAACTCAGTGCCAAGTGAGAACATCCATGTAAAGTGCTGGTTAGTCAAACCTTCATGGACAAGAGCAATCTTTTACATTGAACCAGTTGTTAGTGTGTGAGAAAAAGAGTTACTTATAGAAAAGGAAGTGTTTATTTGGACAACAAATTGGAAATGTTTGAATTAACATTATATAGTTGTGTCATTAGAGGGCATTCCAAAGAAATGCATTTTGCAGATCATAGGCGTTTACCTTTTAAGGATACACATCTTTTTAATTTTTTATTTCACATTTATTTATGTATCCTTCATACTTAAACGTATGGTTAAGAAGCTTCCAAACAGCATGCTTCAACTCTGACAGTAACTCTCACATTCTAGAACTATGTCTGCTACTCATCAGGTACTGCCATCCCATCTCAAACATTTTCTTATCTTTTTAAATTATTCTAATTATGAAAAATGTCAAAAGCTTGCTAGACCAGACTCAACAGAATCAATAGATAACCACCTCTAAAAAAATCTATACAATTATTTTAATAATGTTACCTGCTGCAGGACAGTGGTGGTGCATACCTTTTAGTACTCAGGAGGCAGAAGCAGGAGGATCTTTGAGTTCAAGACCAGCCTGGTCTTCAGAGTGAATTCCAGGACAGCCAGGGCTACAGAGAAAGAAACCCTCTCTTGAAAAACAAAAGAAAACAAAATCTTACTTGTCTTCTCAGAGACCTTAAAATAAAAGGTGTGGTATGTTATAAAAGACTAGAACACTAGGGCTAGAAATCAAGGTGTGGTGGTGCAAATTCCAGTATTTAGGAGGCAGAGGCAGGAGGATTGTGCATTTAAAGCCAGCCTGAGCAACATGGGAAGACTCTGTCTCGAAAAGGGGGCGAGGAAGGCTGGGGAGATTGTTCAGCACTTAAGAGCTCTTGCAGAGAGCCAGAGTTTGGTTCCCAGCACACACACAGTTGCCTTACAACCGTCTGTACCTCCAGCTCCACATCAGATGCTCTCTTCAGTTTTTATGGAAACCTGTATATGCGTGTGCACCATGCATTCACAGGTATACACACACACACACACACAGAGAGAGAGAGAGAGAGGAGATGGGGTAAATCTTTTTAATGGAGGAAAGGACTAGTGCTGGGGATGTAACTCAGTGGTGGAGTGACTGCCATGGGTAAAACCCTGGGTTTGATCACTAACACTACAGAGCAACAAAAAGAGGGAAAGTGAGGAAGGTATGGTAAAATTATCCCAAAACAAAAACTTGTGTAGTAGGCATGAAGAAATTCAATTTCAGTGCAAAGGACAATGAGTGATTCTGGGAAGGTTCCCTAGTTAAAGCCAGAAATGGAATACATGAGGCCCTGAGCTTAGTCCCCAGCACTTGGAGGGGGAAGGCAGACTAGCTCATGTGTTTGGATGTTCTGAGACTATGGGATAAATTATAAACATTTAAAGGCCAGGTGCTTTGTCTTTTATGGAGAAAGAGGCAATGGCTAACTATTCACAAGAATATGCTGTTTGAATCATATACCTTTATAAAATATTTACCTTAATAGTATGATATAGGTATATGAGGATAGAGGATGCAGAAATCATTCTCAAAAAGGTTTTAGACTTAGTGTATAAGTGTGTCTTATTTCCTATAGTAAGAAGTAAAACAATACCCCAACTAAAATATTAAGAAATAATAGCACTAAGCCCATGATTCCAGCTACTCAGTAGAGGCTGAGGCAGCAGTACTTCAAATTCAAGGCATGCCTGAGCTGCAGAGTGAGTTAAGGCCAGCCTAGACAATTTAGTGAGACCTCATCACCAAAAGAGGGTTGGTAGAGTCCTGCACTAATATGAACAAGACCCTAGGTTCAATCCAACCTCCAGTGCCACAAACAACAACAAAAACATGCTGTTTAGAAATGTGGAGCCAAATCTCAGAGATGGTAGTAATATAAAGCAAATTAGAGATTAGAAACCGAGTGTGGAGGACTAGAGCAGACCCTGCTGCTTTTCATTATAAGTCTCATGATGCCACATGAATAAAATTAATGTACAACTTTTCCTGGGAAACTCTCAGAAACACCTATTTAGCCCAAGAGGACACTGGCAGAACAAAGAAACAAACTCAAGTTCAAACTGGTGAGCCAGAGAGTTTGTTGTGGTTACTCAGAAGCATGGATGACTTTGGGCAGCTATATCTGAAATTCCCTGCCCTGGCATTGTGAAGACTCACAAAAGCAATCACTGGCATCCCAACCCAAGTCAACTTTCTACCACCTATATTCTCCTAGCACCCTGTCTCCCAAACCACATCACCTGGGTCAGCACTTTGTACTGCTGGCAGCAGGGAGGGGACAGGAGTCTGCCTCGACTCGAAGGTGAGGTCTTCTTGGGAAGGTCTGGAGCAGATGAAGGGTCACAGTTGCTGATTTCAAGGTGACCATGGCTGGGGCAAGGGCAGGAGAGATGGCTTAGTGCTTAGGTGCACTGGCTGCTCTTGTACCAAACAGTTATAGCTGTTTTATTATTTTAGGAACCCAAGAACTTAGCTGTAGTGGCACCAGAAGCTGTGGGAACAGAAATGCCATTCTGGCACCACAGTTACTGGCAGTATGATGGGCACTAGTCAGTGATAGCATGACTATCACTATGTGGTTTCCCAGAGTACAGAAATCCTCATATTAAAGGAGACTAAATAAGATGGGCAAACTGACAGGTGCCCACACTAAAGTAATCACTTGGGCTTTCTAATTCGGACTTCTTTAAGTTTGGAGATGGCTCCTCTTGCTTCCCAACCACCGCTCACAAAAGAACTTTTCAGGCTTTACTAGGAGATCAGAACTCAGATCTGGTGGTAGAGTACCCTGGCTCTGTTAGTCAAGAGGAATGGAGTGGGGGCTGGGGATGTAGCTTACTGGCAAAGCACTTGCCTGGCTCTTTTTTGTGTGTGAGGCTCTGGCCTTAATCCTTAGGTTGGCAAATGAAATAAGAAAGGGAATAGGAAAACCTATTTACATAGAAGCCAGGAAAAGGGCAGGGAGGAGCGTGGATGTTCATAGTGCCAAGTAAAAATGGAACAGCTCTAATGTGATCCTGGTCAGAAGTCTTTCCTCACATACCTCAGTTCCCCAGGTTCTGCCATTTGCACTTTGGGCATCTCAGCCTTATCTCTTGAGGTCAGAAAGAAATCAAGCAAGGACTAAAGTACCTGTTATTTCTGAGACAAGAGATGAATTTCTTTCCCTCCATTCTCTTTTTCCCTGATCCCTCCATTAATACTTGCATCTCAGTCTCCAGGTCCAAAGATAGCAAGACAAGAGGTTCCTGTGCTCAAAGGGCCTACAAGATTTTGGTAGGGGATGGGAGCATATATGAAAACACACTTTTACAATAATAAAGTAAGTTAGGAAAGAGATCTGCAAAACCACAGGCATGTACACTTGTCAAGGATGGCTTTCTGGCATTAGAGATCCCTGATCTACAGGAAAGAGTCATAGGTGTATAAGCAGGGCAGAGGAAGAGAACCCAAGCCTTCCATTTCTATTATAGTCGGTTAAAATTAAATTCATTTTTGGGAGATATAATACTAAGCCCTCAACTCTATCTGTCCCAGGGTCTTAGTTTGGATTTTATTGCTGTCAAAAGACATCATGACCATGGCATCTCTTACAAAGGACAACATTTAATTGGGGCTGCCTTACAGTTTCAGTAATTTAGTCCATTATTGTCTTGGCAATCATGCAGGCAGAAAAGGTGCTAGAGAAGGAGCTTAGAGTTCTACATTTGATTCAAAGGCAGCAGCAGGAGACTGTAGGCCACACCAGGCATAGCTTCAGTATATGAGACCTCAAGGCCTTCTCCACAATGACACCTTTCCTCCAACAAGGCCACACCTATTCCAACAAAGCCACTCCTTATGGGACAAGCATTAAAACACAGGAGTCTATAGGACCATTCCTATTTAAACCACCACACCCAGTTTCTCCCTATCATTGCTCTTTTTTACCTTAACCCGAATCTCCACTAATGAATGGCTGCTACATTGGGCATTCTAGAACAAAAAACTTTCTAGTAGCCACACTGAGTTTTGTTTGTTTTTTCTAGGCAAAGAATTTTATTAACCTATTTCAAGACTTATTCCCAGGCTTCTTCAGCTTAATTTGCCACAGGAATGAATTGTGCAAAAAACTGAGAAGAGATGCAGTGTCTAGGGGGCTCGGGTCTTAAAATATTAGCGATGTAGTTCTCCCCCCCCCCCCGCCCCCCAGGCGTGGTTTCTCTGTTTCCTTGCTGTTCTGGAATTTGATTTGTAAACCAGGCTGGCCTTCAACTCACAGAGCCACTTGCCTCTGCCTTCAGAGTGCTAGGATTAAAGGTGAGTGCCACCGCACCTGGCTAAAGATCTAGATTTTATCACATCCATAAACAAAATAATTTTTAAAAGCAGTCACTCATCTGCAAGTGTCACCTTCTTCAACAGTTGTCTCAATTCGGTTTGTCTCATTCTTAGAAGCCTCATCAAAATTCTCCACCAGATCTTCATCATCAGCCTCCCGAGTAGCAAATGGTGCTTTTCCATCCACAGAATGTCTGGGCAGAGCTTCAGCCAGTCTCATGAACTAGTCAGACTGTCTGTGCCAAGCTGGTTTAGTATGCTGCGAAGCGTTTCTGTCAGCTGCTTTCAATGGTGAAGGTGTTTGCTGCTAGAGACACTTGAACCCTGGGGTTGTTAAAATGGATCACTGTTTCTTGGTTTGTAAACATGTTCACCTTTTCAATATCAGAGGTGCTGTTTACCTTGAAGTTCTTTAAGGAGGACTACGGTTTTATTGCCTGCTGTGGCTGTTCTGTGAATCACTTTCTATGGGCGGTCCCTTTACCACCGATGTGACCTTGTGCCTGCAGTTTGGCAAGTTTTCCCTGGTTCATGATCATTTCTTTCATCTTGTTGGAGTGAAATGGGGCCGTGGAAGGAAGCACCTTAGGGCTCATGCTTATAGGGTCCTGGGCAGACCAGCTGAGATAAGGCACACACACATAGGATGTGAGATGGCAACAAGAGTGAAAAGTTTGAAAGTAAAATTTAATGATTATTTTAATCCAGTGTATTCAAAGTGTTTAATCACTATCTAAAATTTTTATTTTATGTGTGTTTTGCCAGCATGTACACATGTGTACTACATGTGTGTAGTGCCACTGGGGAACAGAAGAGCAGAGCTGATGCCCTGGAACTGGAGTTTCGGAAGGTTGTAAGCTGATGTGTGAGTGCTGAAAACCAAACCTCAGTGTAGTAGAAGTTTTGGTTTCTTAAAAAACCCAGTTATGATTTTGTTTTAATCACACGTGTGGGATATGGGACTACCTTGGTTTGTCTACAGTTGATAATTGCCTCATGAGGGTCGTGGTTTATACCAGCTGATAAACAGCTTGTGGACCGCTCTGAGAGGGATGTGGTCTTTGCCAGCTGGAGTTAGTGGAATTCTGAGGACTCTGGTAAAGTATAAATACCAGAGCCCAGAGAGACGAAGTGGCTTCTAGGAGATAGATGGAGGAGAAAAAAGGTGCTTGTCCATCCTGCTGTGTTTAGCATTTGCTGTTGCTGGACTGCTACCTATCCTGATGACTGAGACTGGTATTTTCCCAAAGAACCTGGCGACCCCAACCAGCCAGAATTAAGTCTAAAGAGACCTATGTCCCCATTCCCTTCTAACTTTCCTTCTCTCCCACCTATGGTTGAGGGGTTGGGAGGTAGAGGCTTAGGGAACGCCAAATAAAGCAGAGTTTAAAAATAGCACCCACACCTCAGTCCTCTGCAAGAGAAGCAAGTGCTCATAACTGCAGAGTCATCTTTTGTCCCCAACTTTAATAGTATTTTAAAATGAGATTTTTGTTTTTCTCACAGTGCCTTTGAAATATAGTATATATTTACAGGATAGCTCAATTTACTCGCATCTCAACTGTTCAACTGCCACACAGAGCTCTAAAGTTTTGCCTACACTGAGTGTTATGTGGTCTTTTTCACTGAACAGATGAGGTGCTCCTGACTGGGTAGCCCATGCCTGTAGTCAGTTATCAGGGAGGCTGAGGGAGAGGATCACTGTGTCTATGAGTCTGAGACAGCATGGACAGAGAGAAGGAAATAACCTGCCAGCCTGAGGCACTGCTGCAGTCCTCTAAATCTTTGCCTCCCATCAAACCTCTGAAAAGAATGTTGAAGGAGGCACATGGGAGGGTTCCTATGCTTAATCTGAAGAGCTCATGTTCCTTTTAGATGTCAAATATACAGCTCTGTGCTAATCCAAATTGGTACTAAGTCCGTTTTTAGCAATCAGATCCACAATGCCTTACCAACAAATTTTATCCCGACAGTCCTGAGATTAGCAGGATACCACTCAGAAGGACTTGAATTATCTCCAGTTTGACAGCATCTTCACAAAAACTAGTGAGAAATCATCCAGCCCTGCTGATTTCGCTTTGGGCTAGTTGTCATTTAGGATTAAAAAGAGCTAAATACATTTAATGCAATAGCACCCTGCATTAGGCTCTAGCCTAACATCTACAAGAATCATATAGAAATATGCCACGAAAATTCTACCAGTTAACTAAAACATTTCCACCCGCCAGGAAAAGACCAGTTTTAAAAATGGGTATCATGAGAGTAGATTTTGAAATTCATAGAATCCAATCACCTTTTATTGATGGGAAGTGATTATCCCTGATGACATTCAGCAAATCCCTAGGAGTTTTGATGAGCACGCTGCATCCCTTCCACTACCCCCAGGGTCTCCACTAAGTGAAAATGTATTTTAATGAGAAGCACTGTGTTCTCTCCTGAGTATTAAAGTATCTGCAAAAACAGACACACCAAGGAGCAAGGTCAGCGCGCTAAACTGACTGAGGGGTCAGCAGTTTTAAATAGGCGTTGCCTCACAGGAGCGTGGCGCCTGGATTCTCCACCTCCAGAAGTCCTGGGCGGGGGATGCTGCCGGGGTGGCTCTGGTCTTGTAAAGCCTGACTTGAGCCAGGCCAGCTCCATCGCCGGGGCCCACTACCCAGACCCAGGCTGCACCAAAGCGGTCGGCCCCTAGTGGAAGCCACACCCACGTGGACAGCTCACAGCGACTATTGGGAGCCGGGTAAGGGGCTGAGTCAAAGGAGGCGCTCGGAGCGCAGGTTAGTGCTCAAGCGCAGGAGCCGAGCCGCGACCCTTCGCTTCCGATGTCGGGACGGTCGGTCTCTCCCGGGCAGTTCTCACGGACCCAGCACCCTCTCGGCCTCGGCAGTTCCTGGGGATGGGGCTCACCCGGCCGGCAGGATTCGGCCCGCGTGGCCTGCTCCCTGGGGCCGCAGGATCCGCAGCCCTGCCCAGGGCAGATCCCAGACCCCAGTGCAGCCCGGGGCCGCGGCTGCGGCGGGCCCTGTGCACCCGGAACCGTTTCCGGGGCGGAGGCTTCCTCGTAGTTGACCCGGCGCGGACGGTGACGCGCAGGCCCAGGCGGAAGTGCGGGCGGAGGATCCCGAGCCGGATCCCGAGCCGGGCGCGGGGCTCGGGGCTCGCTGGGGCGGCTGGCTCCCGCGATGGCGAGCCTGTGGTGCGGAGGCTTGCTGCGGCTGGGCTTAGGGCTCAGCATGTCCTGCCTAGCGCTGTCAGTGCTGCTGCTAGCTCAGCTGACAGACGCCGCCAAGGTGAGTCCCGCCCCTCCCGGCTCTTGACAGGAGCTCCGCCCCTGCCTCTGGCCTGGCTGAAACTGGGGCTGCCCATTTGCTCCCCACTCCCCCGGTCTCCTAACTTGACAGCTAGATCCCCCCGCTTCATCACCCGGGCTGACCCCCTCAGAGCCTCCTAACCCTCAGCCTCTGACAGAGACTGGCGTCCGGTCTGCTACTACTCCGCCTCTTGACATTTCCCTTCCCAGCCCCGGCATCACACACCCGGAACTTGACCAGCTTTCTAGCCCTGGGAGCTTTGAATTTTCTACCCTTAAACTGCAGCAGCTCACCCCCGCACTCCACCAGCCCTCATCCCCCAACTCTCATCTCCCCGAAGTCTTCCCTACTAGGGCTCCCCTCAAGTCATCCACGAGCAGGTTTCCTTGCCATGGTGTGGGCTCGTCTCTTGTGGCAGCCACCCCTTCCCAGGAGGACTTACAGGGCCATCTCACCAGCTTGGTACTCTCACCAGCTCCCCACCAGGAAGGAATACACACACACACACACCTACCTATGTCTTGTGATTTTACTAGGTAAGGGAAGAAACAGCCTAGGAGAGAGGGGAGAAGAGGTTGTGTACTTTGCATATTGTGTTTCTTAACTGTTCTGGTGCCCTCATGTTATCTGGTGCCCCAGAGCTGCCCAGGCCCAAGAAAAAATATACTTTCTCTCTAGTGAGCTGTCACATTTTGGGGCAAAATAGAAAGACTTCACGGTGTGCTGAGAAACTGTGATACTGCATTAAAAAAAAAAAAGACTATTATATACCCATGTTTCAGTTACGGCAGGGCTGTCTGCTTATGCGCACCTTGGCTGTGCCTGAAAGTGGGTAGAGAGAAAAGGGCAGAGGCATGACAGTAGAATCCTTGTTCTGCTTGCCCAGTCCTCTCACGCTTTGTCCCTAACAATCAACCTGCCATCCCTCTCTTTAAAATTAAAGGACAGAGTTGTGGTTTTTTGTTGTTGTTGTTGTTTTGTTTTGTTTTTTAAAGAAGACTAATAGGGCAGGTCACAGGTAGGCTGGTGTTTTTGATCAGAGCTTTTTTTTTTTCTAATAGTTCTGATGTAACCAGAAATAGGGACAGTAGAAAGTCTGCCAACTTTTGTAATATTGTTGGCACCCTCTGCACAGCTGTCAAACATCCCCATTTTATGTACTGTAGCATGATATACACAATAATGTATTTGTCCATTTCCTCTTGATAGGATTTGTCTCAATAAACAAGAGCATGTCTCTTGCTTATCTAAGTCCTCATTGAACACAGGGTCTGGCACAGTGTTAACTGAATACATTTAGGAACTGTCAACAGCTCTGGCAGACATTTCATTGTACCTAGGAGCAGTGGACATGTCTCTCTGGGGACTAATGAGGCACTGCCTTCTCATATAAACACCCTTTGCTGAGGAAGCATCTCCTGGATCTATCCAGAATTTAATGCCTGCTTTCTCTGCTTTGAGAAACGTGTTATTTTGCTAGGTATTGTCTTCCCTGTCAACCAGGGATTAGAAGCCAAGTTTCCTGTGGGTTATTAGGAAGATTCAAGCTACTTCCCCTTTGGAATTCCCTCCTGGCACTGGCTGAGTGCCCCTGACTCTTCATCCTGTCTATAGCTGACTTAGCCCCTTTTATCCATGCCCAGTGTCTTTCTCCTGAAAGGAAAACTTTAGAAAAGAAGAAATGAGAATTCTGACTCCCCCCCAGTTGTTGTGTTGCAGATTAAATTGGCCTTATGCGTGCTAAGAACATGCTTTAGCACAGAGCTGTACCCACCTCAGCCTAGAATTGTGACTTGCTTATTAATAATCTTTAATTTGATTCTCCCAAAGCATTTTATATCAGCATTTCTCTTTGTAGTCCCTATTATCTGTCATGATGTGTCTTTCTAGTGGCAGGTAGATGATAATAACAATACAATTGATTGTCATGTGATTCAGATAAGTTCTTATGGATTTTAGGAATTGTCTCTCAAAACTACGTTTTTATAATAATTTTAGAATATCTTACTGGGAATACTTAGCAAAATGTGTGTGTGCAGATTTTAAAAAATATTGACTATCAGCTATAAACGAGTTATGCTGCTTTCACCTTTATTACAGAATTTTGAAGATGTGAGATGTAAATGTATCTGCCCTCCCTATAAAGAGAATCCTGGGCGTATTTATAATAAGAATATATCTCAAAAGGATTGGTGAGTACTCTGGGCCAAGAAATCACCTGTCACATTTCTTCCTGTGGTTCTTACTGTTAGCTCAGACTGTTCATATGCTGTCTCATTTTGTTCTTAAGCAAAAGTGTCAAATTCTATTTCTATTTTTTAAAAAAATGAGACCAGGGTTCTGAGTGTATGATACAAATTTATAGGAACACTGACGCCTAAACAGAAAACTCTAGGCTGAGAAGGTTTCATATGGAGATGGGACTAAGTTTATTGTACCTAAACTACCAGTAGTACTGTCTTGTGCCCTCTTAAACTTTCGCCGGGAATCTTTATCCCTCTTACCTTTCAGTGAAAGACAAGTTGACCCTTCCTCATCTTAAGTATACTATTTTAAGCACTTAAAAAACTCTGTGTGTCCATGTAGACAGGTATGTCTGTGGAGGCCAGAAAA